GATCAAGGTGTGGTGCAACATAGTACTAGCCCTTATGCTTCTCCAGTAGTGTTAGTTGGGAAGAAAGATGAAAGTTGGAGACTCTGTGTTGATTACAGAGATTTGAATCAGATGACAATTAAGGATAAGTTTCCGATACCTATCATTGAAGACTTGCTGGATGAGTTAGGTGGAGTTGTGATTTTTTCTAAAATTGATCTAAGGGCAGGTTATCATCAATTAAGAATGGCTGAAGATGATGCTTACAAAACAACTTTTAAAACTCACGAAGGGCACTATGAATTTTTGGTTATGCCCTTTGGCTTAACCAATGCACCTTCATCATTTCAGAGTTTGATGAATGCAGTCTTTAAATCATTGTTGAGGAAATCAGTATTGGTATTCTTTGATGATATTTTGATTTATAGCAAAGATATTAATGCTCATTTAGTTCATGTGGAAGTTGTATTTGATTTGATGAAACAATATCAGATGTATGCAAAGATGTCAAAGTGTGTTTTTGCAGTGGATAAGGTAGAATATCTGGGGCATTTTATTAGTGCTGAGGGGGTGTCAACTGATCCCAAAAAGATTACAGTTGTGCAACATTGGCCAATACCAACTAATATCAAACTATTGAGAGGATTCTTGGGGCTTGCAGGATACTACAGGAGATTTATCCAAGGGTTTGGAAGTATATTTAGACCATTGCATGACTTATTAAAGAAGGAAGGATTTGTGTGGACAGGTGATGCGACTACAACTTTTGAAACACTGAAACAAGCTTTGATTTCTGCCCCAGTACTTGCTATGCTAAATTTTTCCTTCCATTTCGTAGTGGAGACAGATGCTAGTGGTAGAGGTATTGGAGCTGTGTTAATGCAACAGGGACACCCTATTGCCTACATTAGTAAATCCTTGGCGCCGAGGCACCAGGCCTTGTCAGTGTATGATAGGGAGTTATTGGCACTTATTTTTGCTGATACTAAGTGGTCTCACTACCTGTTGGGCAGACCCTTTGTGGTGAGGACAGATCAAAAGGCTTTGAAACACTTACTCAACCAACATATTCATACAGACTTTCAGGTGGCTGCCATATCAAAGTTGATGGCTTTTGATTTTTCCATAGAGTACAAGAAGGGCTCTAAGAATAAGGCTGTTGATGCCTTATCCAGGAAGCCTGATGCTGAGCTATTAGCTATTTCACTTCTTACTCCTAATGATACGTTGTACCAACATATCAAGGACACTTGGACACAAGATGCTACATTGCAAGAGTTGATTGTTAAGTTGAAGGTTCAACCTTTCAAGTACTTTACTTGGTGCAATGACCAACTCAGATGGAAGGGTAGACTAGTAGTTGGACATGATACGCAGTTGAGGAATACTATCATTACACTATGGCACTCTACTCCTCAAGGTGGGCATTCTGGAATGGATGCAACTATCAGAAGAATTCAATTATTATTTTATTGGAAGTCTCTTGTTCAGGGTATTAGAAACTTTAGCCACAAGTGTGATGTTTGCCAACGGCACAAGTATGATGTTGCTGCTTACCCAGGGTTGTTACAACCCCTGCCTCCGAAGGGGTGTGGACTGATGTGTGTCTTGATTTTATTGATGGTCTCCTTAAAGCTAAGGGCAAGGATGTGATATTAGTGGTTGTGGATCGGCTTAGTAAATGTGGCCATTTCATGAGCTTACAGCATCCTTATACTGCCCAAGATGTAGCTTAGTGTTACTTAGATAACGTCTTTAAACTCCATGGTATGCCTGTTACTTTGACGAGTGATAGGGATCCTGTTTTCCTCAGCTCATTTTGGAAGGAGTTGTTCACTCTACAAGGAGTTCAGTTGCAACGATCTACTGCATATCACCCCAGACTGATGGGCAAACTAAAGTACTGAACAGAACTTTGGAAACCTATTTGAGGTGTTTATGCTTCGACAAACCTCTGCTTTGGCCCTCCTATCTACCCCTTCCAGAGTGGTAGTATAATACCACTTATCACACTGCTATCAGATGCACGCCCTTTGAAGTTCTTTATGGTTAAAAACCACCTATTCATCTCCCTTATTTGGTTGGAGAAGCTGTTAACGAGATGGTTGACAGGTTCTTAGAAGCACGAGAGGCAATTATTGAGTTGCTTAAGTTTCATATCAGTCGGGCACAACAAAGGATGAAGGACTTGGCTAACAAACATAGATCAGACAGGGTATTTGCAGTTGGTGACTGGGTGTATTTGAAGCTGCAACCTTATAGACAAGTTTCAGTGGCTGCTCGACCTTTCAACAAGCTAGCAACAAAGTATTATGGCACCTATATCATTGACGCACGGGTTGGTGCAGTGGCCTATAAATTGTTGCTTCCTGTTGATGTGTTGATTCATCCCATTTTTCATGTTTCTCAGCTCAAGAGATGCCATGAGGTGCCTAGGGACATTTCTCATCCTCCAGTTCTCTAGCTTTCCAGTCCCTATTGTCCGACGCCTGAAGCTATACTTGAGAGGAGGTTGGTTAAGAAGGGTAATAAGGCTGTGTGTCAAGTGCTTGTCCAGTGGTTAGGTTTGGCAGCTGATCAGGCAACTTGGGAATATCTTTCTGAATTGCAGCATAGATTTCCCTCTTTTCAGCCTTGAGGACAAGTCTGTTCTTTACGGAGGGGTATTGATACAAGTTAGCAAAAGGAGAACTAATTGATAAGTAATCACTGATGTGGAAAATTATGTTAACAAGTCCAGAAGTTAGTTAGAACAGTTAGCA